AATCACTAGCTTGATACAAGAAAAATAAAATTACATAAAGAGAAAAATGGGTGGCTATTTTACACTTCTGGACAATTCCACACTTCATCTCTGCGTCTAAAACTGAACGGAACGTCGCGAACCTGTTCTAATGAAATGATACAATTTAGGAACCGATTTAATTTTTTGCACTGAGAAGCCGTTTACACAAAGCATTCAAAACACGTATCACTTTACTTGCCTCTTGTCAGGTTTATTGAGAACGTTTAATGCATCCTCTCCTTCCATCTCAGTCAACTGACAGTTAATCGCACAAATTAACAAATTAACAAATAAAGCGATCGCAAGTGGACAGATAACGCTCTCCATTTTGCTTGGCCACTGCACAAACGAACTTGCCCAACCAAAAGTTTAGCGTATTCGGCCACATATGCTCTAGTGGAACGATCAGATCTTGAACATCTTCGCATTTCAGATCGGCCACTCTACCAACTTCTAACATTGTACATGTATTCTGCCGCCCCTGCTACCATTCCTCGAAGACTTTTCTACCCCATTTAGTGTTGTATTGTATTGCTTTCGGAGGGGCTTCCGACAGTAGACTGGTCTCTTCTTCTTTACTCTTTAAATTTTGAGAACGAAACCGATCAGCCATTTTTCTGCTACAAAAGCTATGTGAAAATGAATTGCTATGATTCAATGCTGAATATTTCCAAACTCCTATGGGACAACTGCACGCCCAAGTGGCTAACATGACAAACGCAATCTACTATCACGGTTTCATTCCATAAGTCAAATAAAATATTCGCGTCCGACCTTTATGGGCTTTAGAGGGCTCCCTCTCATATTTCATCAATTATTTTGAATTTGGACACAAAGCTTGGCGCATGTTACGATTTTTTGTTATTGAAATTCAATCACTTTGCCGTCATTTGACAGTAATGTTTTGGTGTTTACTTTCAATTTTAATCTTCCTTCTACTACTCCACTTCTGTTCGAATAGATCGAAGTTATTCTAGAAAAGTCCAGTGGTCTAATTAGTGGCCTCATTTTTTCGAAGAGGTGCGCTCTCTCAAAACAATTAAAGCGATAGTAGCGAGGAATTTGCTACGAAAAGAAACGTGACACAAGACATTGACGAAATATGACCGGCAACAAACTGGATAACCATGTATTTAGTTAACTGAGAGTCAGTGGTTACCCTCTTCAGTCGAGGCTAAGAGTGCCCTCTCGTTCATCTACAGTCTTCAACCTTTGTTCATAGTTATTGAACTTCGTTTCGATTCGAATGAATCTAGCAGAGTAAAGAAGCAAACATAAAACAGACAGAGCTGAGCCGGCGCTCACCGGGAAAGAAAGATCTCGAAAACTAAACGATGGAAGCTGACCAAAAGCAACTCATTAGTATGTTTTAAAGTATACCGGCGCCTCTGTCAAGGCTAAACGTGACATCAATTTCCTCGTAACTCTCGCTGTTGTTCTGCTTCCTTCCTTCTTTTTTATAAAGTGCGTCCCTTTATGTATTGACTTATGTGATAGAGGTATTTTATACTATACTCGGGCGTTATTTGGAATGAGACATCAGGATAAAAAAAAATTAAAGAGACACTTCCTTTCTTGTATTTTATTCATCTAAAATCTTCTTTTTCTATTACGTCAGATGCTAAGGTTAATTCGACTGCGTTTTTTTAAAAATTTAGTTTGTAGGATTTTTAGCATTGTGCTTCATGCAACAAAGTTATTCCAGGGAAAGATCTTAATAGAAGATAAACATAATTTGATGTAATGGCCATAATATCTTGTTTGGCTACGACAGTGGGGCTCAGAGACAGGAATACAACCTACTGAATTGCTTGGCTTGTGTAGTTTATGTAGTGATTGACAAAGCCAAGTCCTTTGAGAAGATAATACGTTTCTGTATCGAAACAGTTCATCAATAGCCCATTCCTTACGAAACATTATAAAATGTTCAGAGAAATGCGTGCGCCGTGATTGGTCAGAACGAGTTCATTATTTAAGAATTTGTTTATACTTAGCGTGCGTATATCGAGTTATGGATGCACACGGGAAGTTTGAAGAGCACGTAAAATGCGTGAGAGTAGCTCAAGGCGCAGCCGAGAGCAACTCTAGCTTTTTTAGTGCTCTCCAAACTTCCCAAGTACATCCATAAATCGATATACGCACAGCTAAAAGCATGAGCAAATTCTTTTGTAGCAGAGCGACAACAAGGATGTGCGCGAAGAAGCCTTTTATTGTGATAGGGTGAAAAATTCTCAAAACACACAAAAAAAGTAAACAAACGTCCCTATTGGCTGGTCAAAAACACGCCACATTTTATACTTGGGTTTGAGCGAAAAGATTTGATCCAGTTAATTGATAACTGTGAGTGAAAAGCCCAAAATTTACGGGGAAAATGGAGAAAATCAAAGCCAAATGAACTCGTGTCGCTAAAAAATGTTTTAAAAGTCAAAGACCCGAAGTTATCAAGGGTTTTGATTGTT